AGCACATCTCAAGCCCGCGTACGCGTTGATTCTGCTCAACTGCGGGCAGGGACTCCCCAACAGCCCTCTGGCACATTATACCGTGTTTGCATCCGAGACTTGAGTGCTTAATTAAACTAGATGGCCGGTAAATGGAGGCGTACTGGGGAGCTCTTTCGTCCAGAGTTTAAAGTTCAATTTCTTTCTTCGTGCTTGAAAACTGCCTATAACTTGTAAAGCGAGTGAGTTTACTTGCTGGGCGCTGAGCAAAGTTTTCAGATTCAGGGAAACTACGAAGCTGGCGTTGCTGGGGAGCGTTTGGCAAATTCTACACGGAGCCGCATTTTTCCTTCGGAGTTATACGTGATGCTATAAGTTGTGTTTGGCAATTTTTCACTGTGTGTGTTTAGGAGTTTTTGAAAATTATGGACCTTGTGTTTGAGGTTTTTTGAAATTCTTGGTAGGTGCACTTTGATTTTTTTGTTTTAATTCTGAACTGTTTTCAAACATTTTAAAATTTTAGGCTGAGTTTTTAGAGTTAATTTTTTTTTATATACTTTGCTTCGATTTTTTTGTAAATTCTGGAGATAGCCATACAGTCTTCTTGAGTTTATGGCGACAAATATGTGATTCTTGGGGACCGTGGCCATTGTGATTCTTAACAGCTTTGCCTTCTACAGTAGTACCACGTCCTCAGTGCCAAGGGCCATTTCTGAGAAGAAGTTAGACCGTAAGTATGGCTCGGGAGAGTGTCACCTGTGTGGTGGTCTGGTGGCAACTATGGGTCGACCACAACAACTTGACACTGTTGGCACTTGCTAGAAGGGGTGTCAGTTGTGGGCAGTGAGGTGTTGGCAACGTGTCAGCCTCCTCACTGACATCACAACCCGTTACTGTTGGTACTTGTGTTACACCGCCACCTAAGCCTCGGACACAGGGGTGAATGTGTGTGTGTGTGTGCGTAACATGCTTTTTTGGCCGTGACTGACGTGTCTTTGTTGACGTAGTGTGACAGTGTTGACTATTTTGCTGGCTATAGTTAAAGACCGTGAACCACACACACACACACACACACACACACACGCACGCACACGCACACACGCGCGCGCTACTCTTTATACCGCTTGTGTATTAAGTGTATTTAATCTAAGATCCAATATGTGTGTGTGTGTGTGAAACCGACGAGTTATTACCCCGAAAGGCCAGTACAGGTGAAGCTTACACCCTCGTCACCACACTGTATAAACACGTAGAAACATCCCCTGAGTTCACTGCTCTCTCTCTCTCGTTTTTTCTTTCTGATATCTTCCTTTTCAAATATTTTTCCTTTTCTCTGTATTTTTCTCTTCACTACTTTTCGTACACTACATAACACACTACACACAACACAACACACCATACTGCACAACATACCACACAACACAAATACACAACATAAATACAAATATACTACACAGCTATAAATATAATTACACAACATAACAGTAACACACACACATATACAAATACAATGCAACATACCACACTACACTACACACACAACATACTACACACACTACATGACAATACACATACCATACCACACACACTACACACTCACATACTATATTAAATACAGTATATATACTACACATACACAACACACCACACAACACACAACATAACGCAACACACCATACCACACCACACAACACACCACACAACACAACACAACACAACACACAACACAACACACAACACACCACACCACACAGCACACCACACCACACCACACTACACCACGCAACACCACACACCACGCCACACAACACCTCCGCCATACAGTTCCGGTGGTATTAAAAGCCAATGTATTTTATCTTAATCCCAGGTTGAGGTCGTAATTCAGGGGGTTGGGAAGCTGTTTGACAAATGAGCGGTTTGTTGGAGTCTTTGTGTTGGTTCACCAGCCAATTGTAAGCCTTGGTTGCCATTAACAAGGGCGAAGGAGTGTGGCCTGCCTTGTGGTCGGGGTGGTGGTGTGTGTTGGGGGGGAGAGGGAGAGTAGGAGGGGAGGTAAGAGTGGGGAAAGGGAGGGGAGGGGAGAAAGGAGGGAAGGTTAGAGTAGGGGAAGGAAACGAAAGGAGGGGGGGGATAGGCTAGGGTTTGGAAAGAATGGAGGAAGAAAGGAGGGAAGGAGGAGAAAAGGGAGTGAAAGAGCAGAAGGAATGGAGGTGGAGGAATATCGTAATTACCTCAACACTTACAAAGGGAATCTGAATTATTACGAATAGTGTCTCCATTAATTACACTATTGAACCATTCGTACAATTAAATAAACTTAAAATATATTCTATTACCTTAACGCTTTTGTATATTGATAACCAAATCATTTTACTAATATTAATAATAACTTTAACTTCTCTTTATAATTCACCAAACTCTATGAATCCATCGGTAAGAGATCCACACTGTGGGTTGTTAGGGATCCGTGTAATGATATGTCACCTTTAGACTCATCCATACATCACCATCTTTAATAGTCTCATATCTCCTGAGTCCTTCCTCTTATAACATGGGGAACATTATTGTTTTTTTTTGGTCTTGGTCTCGTTTTTTATGTGTTTTTTTATATAAGAGTATGTGTTTGGGTGTGTGTGTGTGTGTGTGTGTGTGTGTGTGTGTGTGTGTGTGTGTGTGTGTGTGTGTGTTAGTAAGCAGAAGAGGTCAACTATAGAGTGAAGGACCTTATGGTGTGGGTGGGTGGAGGACCTGGGGACATTCATAGAGCTGTCTGGCGCAATTCTCAAATAAACGCTCTTGAAAAACAAAACATAAACAGTATATTCATGTGTTGTATTTTCTTCATTGAGACGACGATTTAGGTCTCTTAATTCACCTGTTCGTGTCATTGCAATATTCGTGACGGCATGCCAGGTCAACATTCCCAAAAATTCGTAAATTAATCGTTTTTTTGTGTGTTCCTTTAGTCAGAGATGAAAAAAAAAAACAACCATTAGATGTAATAGTGTGTCAGTGTAATTTCGACGTCATGTTTGTTCTCCGTGACGATAGTGGACGGTGCTGGAGGTAGGCACTTGGCAGTCAGGTGCTAATGATAATCACGTACAGTACACACATCTAATGTAGGAAAGCTATGAATAAATTAAAGTAAAAAATAGTTTAATATAAAGGCATGTCTATACAATAACAAAATTATTACTATATTTACACTTTTAATATATAATGAAATATTTATTTTTTATTGGATAAGTGAAGAAACAATTAAAAAAAAAAGAATAAAGGGAATTGAGTTTCAGTGGCATGTAAATGAATAGAATAATAGAGAGGGAGGGAGGGAGGGAGGGAGGGAGGCAGGTAGGTGTGTGAGAGAGGCACTATGGCTGGTGCTCGGTGGGGGGTAAATATCAATGAGACGTGGCGAGATGTACCAAATCCCCGGGTGAGGCTCCGACACCCCGTCTCCCCGGTAATCGCTCCCCTGAGACGTGGCGGCCCCGAACAGGTGGTAATGGCTGTAGGGGAAAACAAATGACGGTGTACTGAGGGCATGAGTGAGTTTCGGGAGCCATTCTGGAGCCTAGTTCACCGTGGTCTCCCGCACCCATCCCGGAAATTTGGGTATAGGATCATCGTGGGGAGAGGAAGGAGAGGGGAGGGTGACAAAAACCCAATAAGTGGAAGAACACGAGTGTGCCGGGGAGAGTCTTCTCTATTGGTAATTGAGGGGATCCAATACCATAAAGACAGCGCGGAAACAAATGACTGTCAGTGAAGAAACGTGAAGACGGTTCAGGATGGTCGTGTTGTAGGATTTAGTGGCTCGACGCTGCTCTGTGGAGGTCCTGTTGGTGTATCGTGGTGAGTGTACTTTGTATAGGGTGTGTCGTTGTAGGGTGTAGCTGTGTGTATAGTACAATACAGTGTACTCTCTGGGCATTCTCATATATCCATGCGCTTATATTAACTCTTTAACTGGTGGTGGGTGGGTGGAGGGAACACATTTAATATCGAATCTAAGTTTACTTTCAACACCAAGTTCTTCTCCAGCTTTGTTCACGAACTTAAGTAAGGCACTTGGACGTTTTCTTTCATCATAAGTTACGGGTAAAAATTCAACTTACGATCTCTTGACAATCCGTTTTCGTGTCTTAGCTTAAAGTGAGCCAGTTGAATCCTTTTGTCACATTCCCAGTTATATGGAAGACTTTTCGTACGAGCTATTGAGAATCCATCTTCGTGTCGTAGCTTAAAGTGAGCCAGTTAGATGCGATCTCACATCTCCAGCTAAGGAAAAATGTTGAAGCATGTTCCTCCCCCTCCCCTTCCCCCCCCCCTCCCCCCTCCCCCATATATTGTGTTGTTGTCAAGTCCTCGATTTTACGACTATCTGGTATTATTTAAGCTACGACACCAAGACGGATTCTTTGTAGTGTGTGTGTGTGTGTGTGTGTGTGTGTGTGTGTGTGTGTGTGTGTGTGTGTGTTAATTTTTTTATCCCCTAACTGTTGATGTGTGTCGGTGTATGTTGCAATCATAGTCTGTCTGTCGTGTTATTCCTTCTCACATCTCGACTCACTTCCCTCTCTCTCCGTCTTCTCTCACACACACTTCCCTCTCCTCACACACCTTACCCTCACACCTCACCTCACTCTTCCCCTCACTTCACTCTGTCCCCCCTCTCCCCTCTCCCTAGTTCCCTCTTACCATAGTATTCTGTATAGTGCAAGAGGGTCATAAACGCCATCAATGGGCCGGAGTCTTAGGAGAGAAAATATGTTAGTATTTATTTTATTGAATTCCTTTGTCCTTAATTATTCCCCTCGCCCCCCTACCCCCAGAAATTACCTCACACCCCGGATACTGTTGCACACCTGGATATTCTCAAGCTCCCTCCCTGGATATTACTTCACCGCGGATATTCTCAAGCCTCCCCCCCCCCTTCCCCTGGATATTACCACACCCCGAGTATTCCCATGTCCTTGAAATATTCTGTCCTAAATTTTCTTCTCTATTATCCACAGATACTTCACGTGGAACCTAGATCCCAGGGGAATCAAAAATACTTCAGGTGAGTCAAGAGATACCCTATTTGAGTCGAGAGATACTTTAGGTGAGTCAAGAGATACCCTATTTGAGTCGAGAGATACTTCAGGTGAGTCAAGAGATACCCCAGGTGAGTCACAGATACCTCAGGTGAGTCAAAGATACCTCGGGTGAGTCAAGAGATACTTCAGGTGAGTCAAGAGATACCCCAGGTGAATCAGGAGATATTCCAGATGAATCATAAAGGTCCTAGGTGAGTCACTAAGATCCCAGAGGAGTCATAAAGGTATCAGGTGAGTCACTAAGATCCCAGGTGAGCCAAGAGATACACCAGGTGAGTCAGAGATGCCCCAGGTGAGTCATGGAGGGTAGACTCAAAGAAACAGGCCGGGGACAGGCGGTAAATACGAGGTGGTGGAGGTAATGTTAGTTTGGGGTGAGAGTTAGGAGTCTTATCTACAGGGGATTATGGTGAGGCTCATGGCTCTAGGAGGAAGAGGAAAAAGTAAGGAGGAGGAGGAGATAGAAGAAGACGTAAGGATAAAGAGAAAGTAAGGATGGGGAGGAGGAAGAAGGGGAGGTGGCGGTAAATTAGAGGGGGATGGAAAAGGAGGAATGAAAAGAGTAGGAAGAGGAAGTGATGGAAAAGTAGCAAGAAGGAGAGCCGGAAGTAGAGGATTAGGAGGGTAAGGTAGAAGAGTAAGGAGAAGAAATGGAAGAGGAGGAAGGTGGTGGGGGGGGAGGGGCAACCTACAAGAAATTAGTGAAATAAAGATGCAATAGAAGACACACACACACACACACACACACACACACACACACACACACACACACACACACGCACACAGAGGAAGGAACAGGACGGACCACTGTGAAAAATATCCAGTGAGGGTCAAGAAAGAAGTTTAAGGTTGAAGTTTGCGAGAATAAGTTAGAGAGGTTGATAAATAGGAGATGGCCAAGTTGTAGGAGACCATGACGTACGGAGCAGATTTTTTGGAGAGGAAATTTTTGAGGTATTGGAGGTGAAGGGTCGTAGGAGGCCATGACCTACGGAGATTTATTTTTTCTTTGAGGGGGAGTTGGAGGTAGTGGGAGGTTTTCTGAGGCTATGATGTATGGATTAATTTTTTTTAATATTGGAGGTGGTGATTTTTTTTGAGGCTCTAACATACATTAGATATATTTTGGAGGATTTTATTTAATTTTTTTTTTGAGAGAGAGAGAGAGAATTAGGGTAAAGATTTCTGTTTTCTAGGATGGGTCAATATATAATAATTAGTTCCGTGGAATATGAAATTGAATTTAGGCAGTTTGGTTTGGTGTTGAATATTTTAAAGGAAGGTGTGAGTTTTTAATGAAGTTAGAGGAGTGTGTTGTAAAGTTATAATGGAGGGAGAGAGAGAGAGAGAGAGAGAGAGAGAGAGAGAGAGAGAGAGAGAGAGAGACGTGTGTGGGAGAAATAGAAACACACACATTCTTCTCTCTCTCTCTCTCTCTCTCACACACACACACACACACACACACACACACACACACACACACCTCCCCCAACCGTGTTGTGTCACAGACCATGGCACGACACACAGCAATAGAGTCCCGGTGAAGAGAAGAGAGTAACTCCCCAAATTGGAAATGAATAAAGAGGAGTGAACGTCCCTCTGAAAAATGCACGCGAGTCCTTTGAGAGCTTCTGCTGGAATGAAGTCATGAGGGCACGACGGGTCACGCTCCATGACCTAGCAGGGAAGAGGGGGGGAGGGAGGGAGTGAGGCGTGAGGGATATGACATGTGAGGGAATGTGGTGCTGAGTGGAATAGTGCCAAGGTCTGTGTTGTGTTGAGCCGTGCCTGCTGGTGTAGACTGGGGCCACGGAGGCTGGTGGTGGTGTTGAAATACCTGGTATCACATAAACTTGGTATCAAGAAATTAGGTTAAAAAGTATATCAGGTAAAGTAATAGTAAGGGAGAGAAGTAACAAAGAAGAATAGAGAGAGGCGGAGAGACGGGCAGAGAATACGTGTCATTTTTATTAAATGAGTAAAAAAAAAAGTTTGACTGCTACACACAGGTAAGGCCGTGAGAGGGAGGCTGAACCTCCGCAGCGGTACATTTAATACAACTTTACGTCGCGATAAAAAAAACAAGTTGAGAATTCCTGCTGCAGAAACTTGGCTTCTGTGTTCACTGAACTTGAGTCAACTTGAGACCAATTCTTAAAAAAAAAAAAAAAAAAAAATGTGTATAAGAGCTAGACTTGCCCAGGATAAGACGCCTCGTGAGCGACTTGGAACTTCACATTACTGCTGTTACATTGTGGACGCTAAGTTGTTTGTTTCAGTGTAATTTTCCAGCCATTGTTAATCTACCGGTAGTAAGAGTGATCCTCATACAACAATGAAAATATTGGTCCTTATATTAGCACAGTTGTTGACGCCATTATGAGGGTATATGGCACTTATTAGGGAATTGTAGTGTTTAAGTGTTGAGGGGAGGAGGATCGTACCCTTCGCGTTCGTTCTGGTTACAACGCCAAATATTCCGCGAAACTCCACTTTAACCCTTCACTACGGGGAACGCCAAATTTTATATTTTATTTACCTAACGCCTGACGATTTTGTTCAGCAGATAGAGGAACCTTTACACTGGTTAACGATACTTAACCACAATGATCAAGGGTCACCAGGGTATCTACCACTGAGCCAAGATAGAGGGTAAACTGTCTTATATACGTCATGGTTAGGTAGTACATGGCGAGCACAGTGGGAAAAACTGGGACAAAAGTTAATCCACACAGTTCATAATAAGAGACAGGTACTGTACTATATAAAGACCACGTTAAAACATCCTCCTGTAAAGTTCCTCATACAGAAAATACACAGAATAACTCAATCCCCGGTGAGTCGTATCTTTTCCAGAAAGTTGTTGCTGGCTGTATTAAAGCCAATTAGCCGGGCGAGAGGAAGAGCTCATTAGATTTGCACCAAAATATACAGACTGTCGACTTATGCAGTTAATACTATTAGAAATCCTCTCACTGATGATTACTAGTTGTGTATAAATAGAACTTAAATAGCTGTATATTATTTGAGATGATACTATTGGAGTTAGCTCAATTTAACTAGCAAATTAATAGGCATCGGAAAACTGAAATATAAACCTGTAAAACCATATTTGAACCTAAACCATCTTCACCTGTACTAAGTAAACCTATCCATACTAAACCTTATTTAACTTTAATAAACATGTGGATAATGTTTATATATATTTTCTAATGATTGAATGTTTATGTCCTGTTATTTGCATAGTTGAGCGTCACACAAATATTCCAGCTTTATAACAACTCTCAGGGGAGGAGGAAGGAGGGGCAGGTTAAGAGTACCTTTTAGTAGTGTTATCAGTGACCCCTTGAAGATGGTGGTGACTGCTCCTCCTGTTCAAAGGGTTACAGCATCAGGGAGGTACTACCGCCTGGGAAGATATTGGAAGCATAATGTGTTGTCTATGGTAGATCTTGCTGCCACATGGCATCACGAAAATTGTGACCAAGTCCCAGGTTGCTGATCTGTCTTTCTGCCTCATTTACACACAATTGCAGGGTCTCAATTGTTTCTGTTACTATTGACAACACAACATACATATATTGTTCCTCACTTTTGATTTTTTTTCATTTTGTATTTCTTTGTGGTTCTTTATTATTATTGTTATTATTATTAAAATTATTATTATTATTATTATTATTATTATTATTATTATTATTATTATTATTATTATTATTATTATTATTATTATTATTATTATTATTATTATTATTATTATTATTATTATTATTGTTACATTTTCGCCCCCCGGGCCCCGTTGTGGGTCGGTGACCTGTGCCTGGGTGGGCTGATTCCCGTAAAAAAAATAAGTAAGGGATTAAGTTACCACATACAGTACACTGAAGGGGCGAAATTGTCGAACTCTTACTATTAGGTTATTTTACTCAAGGGATTATGATAGTAAGTTGTCTTACGTTAGGGATTAAGTTGTCTTACTCCAGGGCTTAAGATATCTTACTCAAGGAATAAACCTGCTTACTCTAGAGATTAAGACATCTTATTCTAGGGATTAAAAAATTCTACTCAAGAGATTTAGATAACTTACTCTAGGGATTAAGTTATCATACTCTAAGGATTACTTTTTTGTTTTCGGGGAAGTGACAGCATACTCAAGGAATCTCATCATCATAATCAAAGGTTAAATCTGCAGATGACACAACGTCTCGTCTTGAACGCGAGAGCAGGACAGAACAGTACCTCGGGAGGTCTATCTGGCACCGTGCCCAGCTCTCTCTAGTGTTTGACATATAGCTAATGAGATTCACACGCTGGCGTTGTGTTGGTGGGTGATGTGATGCGTCTAGTGCGGCAGCGTTAAGTTAGTGTTAAGGTGAATGTTCTGCTCGCTACTCTTACGCTCTCAACTCCTGCCGCCGGCTACGTTAGGTTAGGTCAGGTCAGGTCAAAGGGGAGAGCCGAGTGTGTAAGTCTCTCCCCTCACCAAGACCCTTCAGTGCCTCCTCGTGGCAACGCACAGTAACTGGGTGTCGGCGACGCCAGGCAGATTCCGTAAGTGATATCGGATTAGCAATGGGCCTCAGAGGTATGGTGTGCAGGCCCGTTTCTCTCCTCTTCCATCCCTTTATCATCTCCTATTCCTTCTTGGTGTCTCTTCTTTTATTTCGTCTCTGTCTCGTCTCCATTTATCATCTCTCTCTCTCTCTCTCTCTCGCCCGTATTATTAAACATCTTCCCTTGAACAGGGTCGTCGTGTTTCAACCCGTGTTTTAAACTAAATGAGTCCTGAGGGACCCCGCAGTACAGTACTTAACGGGGTGTGGCGGTAAATTAACTAATTCCAATATTATAAATTAATTTTATTGGAATTAGTTTCGCCACACCCCGTTAAACACTGTACTGCGGTGTCCCTCAGGACTGATTTAGTTTAAAACACGGGTTGGAACACGACGACCCTCATCAAGGGAAGATGTTTAATAATACGGGCGTCTCTCTCTTTACTGTGTCCTATTTATTTCCCTTGTGTCTATTCCTAATATATATGTTATTGTTTACTTTATTTCCCAGCCGGTGTGTATCATTGTCTGCTTTGTTTATACAGTACAGTATTTAATATATCTCCCTTTGTTTACTTCTTTTATCGTTTGTTGTTTATACGTATCTCCCACCACCTGTGTTTATACCTTGTTTATTTGTTTACTCTATTTCTCTCTCCCTCTATTGTGTTTACTCCTTGTTTTAGTGTTTACTTTTTGTCTCTCTCTCTCCCTCCCCTTGTGTGTAATCTCTCTCTCTCACATTGTTTATACTTTCCTCCCTCCCCTTGTCTCTCTCCCCCTCCCCTTGTCTCTCTCCTCCCTCCCCTTGTCTCTCTCCCCGTGTGTATGTCTCTCCCTGTTATCACCTTACGAGAGGAAGTGAGGGAAATGGAATATGAAGAAGATAAAACATGCAGGGGGGGAAAATGTTAACGTAGATAGAAAGAAGAGGAAGTAGGGGAAAGGGAGATAAAAGAGGGAAGAGATGAGAATTAAAGAGAGAAGGGGAATGAGAGTATAGGAGGAAGAGAAAGATGGATGGAAGACTAGGAGGAGAAAGAGAAGGAGGGGAAGGAAGGAAGGAATCAAGGAAGACTAGGAATAGAAAGAAGGAAGAAAGGAGAAAGAAAGAAGGAAGGATGATTAGGAGGAAGCAGAAGTAGGAATAGAAGGGGAAGAAAGAAAAAATGCAATGAATAAAAGAACGAAGGGAAACACTAAGAAAGAAGGAAGGTAATAAGAGAGAACGCGAGAAAGTGTGCCACTGTTGACCTAAGTAATAATGCCACACGTCCCTGGGCTAGTTGGCTGGCTAGGTCGTGACGTCGCCATCGCCAAGGAGACCCGCCTTACGTCATCACTTACGTCACAAATATGCACATAAATCATTGGCTGTCAAGGTTTATTTGCTCTCGTGATTGTGTGACGTCATCTGTGTTGCTATTGGTTGTACCCTGAGAATTGGACCAATGATAGGATTATACCTTTAAAATCCACTATCACAGGGCCCGACACGTATATATTCCACATTAATCTCACAAAGGAGTTGTTTATCAATACTTGGCTACTTGTTTACAATAAATTACATCGTATCCAGGGATCTTATGACTGACAGAGTGATTTGTTTTGATAGTGAGATGAAATGAGAAGCTTCAGTCCTATCAAACTTGACTGGCGGAAAAAAGAACCAGAAAATTAGGTCTCCATCTTATTACACCTGAAGATTAACCACACTTGCGCTAACCTAACCTAACAAAAATTCAATCCAATTAATATGCTTCAGACATCTACATAATGTTTCAACTGATTTGCATACAACTTTTACCCGAGGAATTCAACTGGTACGCTGTTTCCTGTATCTATTAAGGACATTCTGGAGAATCATTTTGCTTACCTGGAAATGGTGTCAACGATGTATGGGTTGTGGAGAGAGCCGCATGGGTAGCTGATTACTGGAGGTGTGAGAACGACTTAGTGACTATCAGAGGTGTGAGGACAACTTAGTGGCTATCAGAGGTGTGAGGACAACTTAGTGACTATCAGAGGTGTGAGGACAACTTAGTGATTATCAGAGGTGTGAGGACAACTTAGTGGCTATCAGAGGTGTGAGGACAACTTAGTGACTATCAGAGGTGTGAGGACAACTTAGTGACTATCAGAGTTGTGAGGACAACTTAGTGGCTATCAGAGGTGAGAGGACAACTTAGTGGCTATCAGAGGTGTGAGGACAACTTAGTGACTATCAGAGGTGTGAGGACAACTTAGTGACTATCAGAGGTGTGAGGACAACTTAGTGGCTATCAGAGGTGTGAGGACAACTTAGTGGCTATCAGAGGTGTGAGGACAACTTAGTGGCTATCAGAGGTGTGAGGACAACTTAGTGACTATCAGAGGTGTGAGGACAACTTAGTGACTATCAGAGGTGTGAGGACAACTTAGTGACTATCAGAGGTGTGAGGACAACTTACTACGTAATACTGTACTGCACTAAGCCAGGGTCGTACCAAAGGCTAACTCATACAGTATATATATATATATATTCCATCTCTGGCTAAATAAACTGTACACAATTACACAGTACCACATCAGCACTACAATTTCCTGCATGATTCGTTCTATGTTCCGATTCATGTTCCATTTACAGCTCAAAACTTATTTATGGACAGATATAAAAAAAATATTGGGTTACCCGGGCGCCTCTTCAATCACCAGGTAGCTGTCAGTGTATAAGCGTAATGATAAAAGAACAACGGGGAGGGGTGGGGGGTAGTTTTTCCACGATGTAACGCGGGCCAATTTATTTCGTAAAAATTTCGTCGAAGCGATAACCCCGTGTCAGAGGTATTGGCTGCCGCTGTACAAACATTGTCGCCTCACTCTCCTTCACCACCACCACCACTAGTCCACCAGCACCACCACTACTCCACCACCACCACTACTCCACCAGCACCACCACTCTACCACAACCAGCTGAGCCTCCCTTGTACTACCTCAACGATGTGCTATTGGAGATGTATACAGTATGTGTGTGTGTGTGTGTGTGTGTCGTAGAGATGTGTACAAGAGTGATAGAGTGTAACAACTAACAACCACATTAATTACCTAAGTATTTCATAATATTAACCTGTGATTGGTGTTGTACTTAGGTCAAATAATTAGGTCATTGTCTCATTAATCATATTCACGAACATGCCACAGTGCTAATGTGTTATTAATTTGAGTTTAAGTTTAGCTAAGTTTTAAAAGTTTCATTCACGTTAAATTTGGTTTCGTTTTGTATTGATTTACACGTTATTGTACTTTTAACATGGAGATTTTTTCATACATATCGAACCAGCTTCATTTAACTGTATTTGTACTGGTGAGTGAGTGAGTGAGTGAGTGAGTGAGTGAGGATTCGGTGAGTACTATGAATAAATTACACGAGTGAGTGAAGGAATGTTGGGTAATAGTGAATAAGTTATGCAATAAGCCGTGAGGCCATGTATTTGATTTACACACACACACACACACACACATACATTATCACGTTGTAAAGATGCAAATCCAGTGCGTGTTTACTAAATTCTGGAGTTTCCATTTCCAAATTCCACAGTTTATTGAGAAATGTCTTGACTGTGTTTTCGCCTCCTTGATTCAGATCTCTCTCTCTCTCTCTCTCTCTCTCTCTGTGCAGCTTGAGATGATAAGCTCCTTCTTCCTCCCTTCCCCCTCACTACCGTCTACACTACAGGTCATTACTTTGTCAAGCCGTTCCTCTCTCTCCTCTCTTCCTGTAACTCCTTGCATTGATTACGATCCTCCTCCTCCTCCTCCTCCTCTTCCTCCTCCTCCTCCTCCTCCTCCTCTCCTCCTCCTCCTCCTCCTCCTTCCTCCTCTTCCTCCTCCTTTTCCTCTTCCTGTAACTGCTGGCGATAAACACCCTCCTCTTCCTCTTCGTACAGATGAAGTTGATAAGTATCTTTCCTCCTCCTCCTCCTCCTCTCTCCTCTTTTCTTTCCTCTCTTCTCTTTTTCTTTCATTCGTTACGTCCTGCCGCGTTGTTACTTCGTCAGGCAGTTCTTCCCTCTCTCTCCACTCTGCTTGTAGCTCCTGGCGATGAGGACGCCTCCTTCTCATCTTCCTCCTCCTTCTCATCTTCCTCCTCCTTCTCATCTTCCTCCTCCTTCTCCTCCTCCTCGTGCAATGGAGGTAATAATCATTTTCCTTCTTCTCCTCCTCCTCTCTCTCCTCACTACCGTCTGCAACGTCGTTACTTCGTCAGGCAGTTCCTCTCCACTTCCCGTCGTGTCTTCATCGCCCCACATATTTCTCTCCCTGTCTCCTCCTCCCTTCCCATATTACCCAGGATTTCTGTTTACTTACCGCCTTCCCTCTCACTTATTGTTTCTTTCCTTAGTTTCATTTCTCTATATTTTTCGTTATGGGATTTTTTTTTTTATATTTGCTTCTTATTATGACTTATTATTTTTCTTTAGTGTATTTTTAATTATGCTCGTTCTCTATTATTTGTCGTAAATGGTAAAGTCTCTCTTTTTTCGCCTTTTTCTTTATTTTTCGTAATAATCTGTTCTCTCTCTTGATTTTTTTTATGCTGTTGATTTTCTTAATGGTAAATCTTTCTCAGCATTCCCACAATTATTGAAAATTCTGAAAAAAGTCCTGGAAATATCATGGTAATTTTTTAAAAAGTTTTACCAATCATAGAAAAATCACAGAAAAGTATACAAAATTAACTCTATTGTGTATACTTTGCCTTCATAAATATTTTCCTCCAGGACTCAACCTAATCTTTTTCGATGACGGGATTCTTATGCGACAGTATTTTTAGTTACATGATTACCATCTGTTCCAGCTCAAACTATACATAATGTAATACCTTTCTTTAGCAATATTTACTCTAGGAATTTACTCAACATTTATGCTACATAATTATAATCGCATTAAAGGAATGTATGTAGACTTATGAATTACGCTTCTTGCTGTCACACACCCATCCAGTGATACAGCTCGTTTCGTGGGCCTCAGCAGCTTATCACAACTAAAAATTTTCTACACCATTGACTTCAACATAAGTGACAAAAATATATACAGCCGAGTAACATTTGGTTTAGTGTCGTCTTAAGTTTATGCCAAGTGAATCTGTTAGGCCGGGTATGGGAGCCTGCCACAGGGAAGTTGTTATTGTTTTAAGAGAGATTGTTTTAGGTTCACTACGTATAGTTCACGAGCATATAAATTCTGTATCTAATATGACTTTGTTTTACAGAGTGAGAAGTCATTACCAGTGAAGAAGTATTAAGCGGCCACAGTATAAGGAACAAAAGCGGCCACCAAACACCGAGATACTTCCTTGTCCACGACCCACAGAGAGAGGGTTAAGTTAAGTGCAAGTTTACCAGTTTAGAAGCTTAACTGATTAACGTAACATTACAGCGTGTTTACGGTTTTAAGATTTTTTAATAAAAAATTAAAGGTAATTAAATTTTTCGTTTGAGATAATATTAAAATTGAATTAATATAAAGTATTGCTGGTCCATGAACCACAGATTTGTGATTTGTTGACCCGTGAGCCTTGGTGTGTCAGGGGAGACTATTAGATGTACTCTGTCTGCAATACTGTACTGTACTAACACCTGCCCCGCCAGTGCTGGAAACGTATAACGGTGCCAACTTCAGGTAGTGAGACACACCGAGGCTTGTTAATTATTCGGCTCTAGGGTCCAGTTCTACTAACACACATTTACAGGGTAGGTCCTAATGTCTGTGTTGTGTTGTAGTTAGCACAGATGAGTAGTACTTTTATGTCTCTTCACCTCAAGATGCAAAGAAGACAAAGTGAAGAAACAGGAAGAAAGTAAGATGGTGGGAAGAAAAATGCCTGAAGCAGTACTGAGAATATTACCACCGCCACCTAACACACATAAGGTAAACTATTACATTCTTTGTTATTTGTTTACATAGCAGAAGGTTGAGGCATACAGTATGTTTACTTATAACTTGACCCGGAACAGTTAAAGGTGTCAACTACCTCCATACTTCTCACTTTAAGTCTCATACAATGTTACCAATCTCTCAGTGAAAATTATATAAATATTGTACAGTCCCGCTATAGCCATCTCGTTCTTTTGGCTGCGTTGGTGTGGTAACAGTGTAAAATTCAGCCTCTGGTGGTGGTGTGAACGCCTACGCCAGGACAAACCTTGTAGGCATTGTTTTTGTTTTGTCTTAATTTTCTGTGTATTTCTTCCATGTTTTATTTCTTATTTTTTCCTTCACTTTCCTGTGTATATTTTCCTGTGGTCTTCATCCCGGCTCCAGGTGACGCTAAGACTTAACAATATATAAGATTTATTTGCCAGAACTGGTCACGTGTATTGTCACTTAGTTCTCAGATTACAGTGTAGATGGTTGTTTGGAGGAGATGAAGGTTACACTGTTATCATTATGGTGTGTGTGTGTGTGTGTGTGTTGTGTGTGTGTGTGTGGTTTGTGTGTGTGTGTGTGTTGGTTCAAGAAATAAACAGACAGTGGATAAGAGAATGAGAGAGACAAAAAAGTAATGATTCAGAAAGACAGGGAATAAAAATAGATAGAAAAAGAGTGTTGGATAAATAAAAGGAAATAAAATAGGGTTGGGTCAGTAGAGAGAGAGAGAGAGAGAGTGAGTAAAAGTAAGACCAGGAAAAAAAGGATTTGTTCAGAACAGACAAGGGGGGGGGTGGAGGGGATAGTGGAGGAAGGGAATAGTGGACGAGGGGAAGATTGGAGGATGTAGGGGATAGCGGAGGGAGGGGGTGGTGGAAGAGGGAGGGGGAGGGATAGTGGTAGCGGGTGCACCGGTTCCCACACAGCGCCAGTCATCACCTCACCACACCCGTGAAATCTAAACCCAACTTATTGGAAAGAAAATGCGTGAAATCCCACCACACGCGGTATGGAAAGACTTCTTCCTGCCGAGAGCTGCCTGACGGAGGCGAGATGCAGAAGAAGCATCTCAAAAAATCGGGCTGTGGTGGACTATGAAGCCTCTCAAAGACTCGGGCTTGGTGGACTGTATAAGCTTCAGTACTTTTCTGCAAGAGACTGATGAAGCCTCAAGACCCCCCATATAAAGTAGTGCTTCAGCTTCATGATTCCCGTATAAGGGATGGTGAAGCCTCTAGATAGTGGTGCAGCAAGAAGACCACCATAAAGTAGCAGAAGGAACAGCATGGGGTAACAAGAGGAGTACCATGAAGTAGCAGGATGAGCACCATAACACAGTGGCGTAGTGAGAACTTCCGTAAAATAATGGTGTAATCTAAGCACCATAAAATAGTAGGAACACCAAAAAGTAGCAGAAAGAACACCATAGGGTAGTGGTGTATGGAGGAGCAGCCTGAAGGAGTAGGGGGAGGAGGAGTAAGGAAGGTGTGTGGCGCGTGGCAGTAATAGACAATAGTGAGCGCCACGTGTGCTGGGCTGGAGCGCATCTATATGGTAATGTGGATGGCGGTGAGGGGACCCGCGCCCTACGGTCACCATTCACTCCAGGCCTTATAAAGTTCATTCCTATAGAGCTTACATCCAGTCGTATACACCACACCAGGGATTATAAGCTCTCGTGTACATGATGATCAAATTGCAGGATTATTAATATCAGTTGTAGTATTGTTATTATTATTATTTATATTATTATACACCATTATTATTGTTAACGTAAATTGACTCACAAGAACCAGTGTACTGTACTCATATATAACAAGGTAGTCGGGAGGACAAGATCTTGTTAGACGTGAGATGAACAGAAAGTCCTCGTCGTGTTATCTAGCTGTGTGTGTGTGTGTGTGTGTGCTTACAAACTCACTCCTTACCTCCCTCCCGACCATGGTGAAAAAGAGTTACCTTCCTCTTCCCGTCAAGTGCAGTTTGGGATATATTCGTCTCCGTCTTTGAAGTTAACATTGCAGGTATTGCTTCACCTCCTCAAAATTCTCGCCGTGTTGCTGGTCTGGAATATACACGCCTGCACCTTCACCCGCCTCGCTCACACATTCTCCAGCTCACTTAAGTTATCCCTTCCTCCCGCGCCAGCTTATTCACACCCACCACACTTGTGTATCCTTGGCCAGCCTCGTGTATACTTGTGTAAAGGTGTTTGGCCAGTTTTGGTGTCTTCTTGTATAGGGAGTGTGGCCAGGTTTTGTGTATACTTGTGTAAGGCGTGTGGCCAGGTTATGTGTACGCTTGTGTAAGGCGTGTGGCCAGGTTATGTGTACGCTTGTGTAAGGCGTGTGGCCAGGTCATGTGTACGCTTGTGTAAGGCGTGTGGCCAGGCCTGGAGTCTTCTTGTATAGGCAGTGTGGCCATGTCTCGTGTAAACTCGTGTAAGACGTGTGGCCAGGCCTGTTGTATCCTGGCCATAGGCATGTGGTGACGCGTGGTGTGGGGTGTGTTGTGAGGCGTGTGGGAGGGGAGGAGAGACCCTCTTGAGACACCCACACATGAATACACTTTTTTTCCTCTTTTATTTCCCCAAGTCTTATTTTTTCCGCGGAACTTTCTTCCTTTTTTTCCCATTGACTACTGTAATGGACTTTTCCCTCTGAAGAATATATACATAAAATTTTTACTAGAAAGACATCCATAAGTCTCTACACTACAACACCATCAATAAGTAGTGTCTACAGTGATCCTCCATTGACCTAAAAATCACCCCAAAAAATGATCTTACTGTGTATAATATTTACTTTCAAGATCAGTCCATCTCAGTTAGGAAGTAGCTGCTCTGGCGCCGATAACTTCCCGAAAATGGGCCTTCTATGGCGGGCTTCTGTGTGAAGAATTAAGTGAACAGTATTTTACCCTTGAGTTGGGCAACAGCTTACTGCCAGGTGACTCAAAGCTTACTGTTAAGTGAATCAAAGCTTAATGCCAGGTGACTCAAAGCTTACTGTTAAGTGAATCAAAGCTTAATGCCAGGTGACTCAAAGCATAATAATAATAATAATAATAATAATAATAATAATAATAATAATATTAATAATGGCTGCGTCTGAATACAGAAACAGTCGGTACAACAGGTGATATACATAACGTTAATTACCTGCCCACGTAATCCCCCATGACACGTGTTTTTATCTGTTAAAACATTACCTGTCTGGGATCTGATGATGTTTGTAGCTAGAGCAGAGCAAGATGAAAGTGTTTGTGTGTGTGTGTGTGTGTGCGTGTGTGTGCGTGTGTGTATGTGTGTGTGTGTGTGTGTGTGTTTGCTTTTTTATAATCTGACAGGAGTATTAATATTGTTCTACTGTATTATCATCGTCTTTATTCTGTATTATTTTAATGTTTGTTTTTTTCTTATTATTATGTTTCATTCTCCTCTTTACCCCTCATCCCTTCCGCCTCCCCCAGCCTCCTAACCCCCCACCCCAACCCCTGTCTCCCCCATCCCCTACCTGAGTCTTTCATCACCTGTTTCCATTTGAGTTTCCCCGTCAGAGGGTGTGAGGGCGGTGCATCGTTACGGTATAAGCCATTCCTAACCTTTTTTTTTTTTTTGGTTTTGTTAATTTTAATTTTGAGTTATGAATTCATTAGTGGTGAGTACAGCGGCGGCCACTGAGAGAGCCACTTGGTGTTGCTGTATTTAATGTTTGTCGGATTTATTATTTTTTTTTTAGATTTATTTTTATATATTTATGTATTTATGCATTTTAATTTTTTTCTTGGTTATATATTCATGAAGGTATTGAGCGCCGCCATTGTTCGTTCACGTTAAGTCGAGCACGCGGCTTGTCCCTCCCCAGGTGTTCTCAGGTGTACAGGAACTTGCTTATTATTATCAAACTTTTTCAAACTCTTGGGTAAGTACACTTAGTCTCTCAGGCCAAGTTTTAGGAAAATCCGTCCACCTGTTCCTGAGTTATGTTCTTCACACCGAGGACGGCTCGCGGTCACCACCCCTCCACCTGAGTTCTTTCATTATATTCCCGGAAGTCTTAACTGAGTGTTGTGATAATGGTTATATCTTTATTGTGGTTTTTATTATTATTGTTGAAGTTTGTATTGTTGTTATTATTATTATTATTATTATTATTATTATTATTATTATTATTATTATTATTATTATTATTATTATTATTATTATTATTATTATTATTATTATTATTATGTATGTATGAGTGGTTGTGTCTCCTCAACACCCAAAGAACTACACACAGCTTATGAATAAGGACAAGAAGCACCACGTTGTATAGGGAGGAAGTGGTTGTGGTGGTGGGTGGCAGAGAAAGACACGAAGGAGTAGGCTGTTAGTATTCATGGGTGGCACAATACACTACAGAGGGAGGAGCAGCGTCGCGTCTGGGTCAATAACGAAGGAGAATGATGAACGTCTGAGTGTTGACTGTACTGCAACAAAAGAAATGAAAAAAAATGAAGTTAAACAAGAGATATGAACGGAGGGAGGGAGGAGGGGTAGTTAGTGAGGTAATAGAGGTTGAGATGGGAGGGTCTTGGGTTGTGGTGTGGGTTAATGAGGTTCCGATGGCGTCGTGAGGGGGGAGTTAATGGGGTATAGTAGAGGTTCTGATGTGAGAGTCGTGAGTCGTGAGGATTAATGAGGGGGTTTAGGCTCAGGTGGGAGTGAGGGTCGTTCATGGGGGTTAATGAGGTATATAGGCTCAGATTGTGTTCCGTGAGGGAGGGATAAAGAGGTTTGAGACTCATCCTCCCCAGGCAGCCAGACGAGGGACCTGGGGTGTTGTCAAAGAGGTGCAGATAGGAGAAATAACAACAGGAAAAACTACAGGAAAACGATCCTTATTTGATCGTGTTTTTAGGGAGTACGGAGTTTTAGGAAGCAGAGGTGTTGTAGATGTTGATGATGATGATGATGGGTTGAGTATTGTGGTTGTGAAGTGTTGTTGTTGTTAG